GGCAGGACTGTGCCCAATAAGCCCAGGGTGAGCTGAATATATCCGAGATTGAAAAAGCATCGAGTGTCCTCCGCTGCTTCTCTGGTGGTCCAGAGGCTGCCGGGAGGGGCAGCTCACTTAGCGTCCAGCGCACAGGAGGGTACTAGGTATTGCTGCCCAGGAGAAGACCCGGAGCGCAGAGTCAAAGCACGGTTCTGCTGTACGTGTATTGCTCCGCACCACCACGAGCAAGGACCGTCCACCAGTGTTTCTGCCTTGGAATTAGCAAGGCTGATCCTTTGGGGGAGAGATAAGTATTCACCAGTAGGGGATTTTCTAAGCAAAACCCTGCTGAAGTACTCAACCCAACACAGACACCACCTTTAAAAGTGCCGCGGCTTGGTCCCCGCAGAGCCGCGCTGCGACACTCTGGAGGGGGTGCTGCCGCCAGGTCCAGAAACCTGAGGCCAGGCACCAGTTTCCTGCCCCTTCCGAGTGGCCAGGAGCGCGGTGCGCTCCCCGTCCTGTCTGGGGCCGACTGCCAGCTCTGTGGGGCCCTCTGCACCTCTCTGCCTCCTCTCTCCCCGTCAGCCCCTCATGCGTTTTCCCAGCCCCCCAGCTCCACTCGCTGGCCTGGGAGCCTCCTCCTCTGTCCACCGAGTGCTGGAGGTGCTGGGCCTCCCCACGTCAGGACCCGCCACACATGGCGGCCTCTGGCCCTCTACCTCCAGCTGCCCTTCACTGAGCTGTAAGCCTTGGGGCAGGGGGGCGGGGGCAGAGGACAGGTGAGAGCAGGACAGGTGGGTGTTGATTTCCTCAAGGAGCGTGATCTCCCCAGGGCCACTGTGGAAGGGGAAACTGCAGGGGGCAGCAGCAGGAAACCCTTTGCAGGGGCTCCTGCCCTGGCCCCAGTCCTGTGTGTGAGGGAGAGCCCAGGATGGGGGTAGGTGGAAGGAGGCGGCATCCCAGGGCTCTGGGGATGGTTGATTTCAGTGATGGGCCAGGCGCCTGGGGGAGCCATACTCAGGGAGCCTGAGTTCAACCCACCCCCTCCAGCCCTAGGTATGGTGCCCCTGCAGGAGGGTCAGGCCCAGGGCCAGGACACCACCCTGGGGAGGCTCAGGGCCATCCAGAACCTGGCCCCAGGGCGCTCTCGCAGTCCCTGGGCATTAGGCATTTGTTCATCCATTGTCTGTGGATACACTACAGCCTCCTGGTCCACAGAACCACAAACAGTGAGACCTTTCCCAGCTTCCAAATCCAAGTGCTGCAGCAGATGGAGCAGGAGTGCCGGCCGGCCGGTCGGTAACAGGTACACACGCACAGTCGGCTGGCATCCTGAGCAGGACCAGGAGAGGCGCGCATCCCCACTCTCCTCATCAGCATTCCCTTCCAGGCCTCCATATGGATCAGTGAGATCCCGTGGCATGAGGAAACGGGGAGGGGCAGTGAATCCCCATTAGGCACAGCGCTGTTTAAGGAGGTGAGTCTGCCCTGTTTTTGCTCTGCCTTGTGCATGCAGAATTAACTCCATCTACCACACATTTGTATTATTATTTTTTCTGCCCAGATTCCAGTGAGATCCTGCAGGCCTGAGGACTGGGGCAGAAATATAACCCGTGGGCTCTGCCACGTTAGCAGAAGGGAAGAGCATCTCCCCCTCCAGCTTCTGTTGCTTTCCCACATCAGAGATTTGAAAACTGAGGCGGACACAAGTGAACGGCCATGATCATAGCGAGATGCTAAGGTTTAGATACGAGGTGTCCCCAGAGCTCACGTCTGAGGGTGCAAGGACACGATGGAGTCACGACATGGATGAACGGGGGGGGGCGGGGGGGGGGGAACTGTAGGCAAGCGGTAGGCGAGCGCAGGACAGGGTCCCCGGGGCGGGCCTCTGGGTTGACACATTACCCCTGGCGAGGGGAGTGCCCTTGCTTCCTGGTTGCGGTGTCCTGAGCTGCTGCCCTCCACCTTGAGGTTCCACCCCGCCTCAGACCCAGCTCTCGGGAGTCTGCCGATCACCAACGGAAGCTCTGAAACCATGAACCAAAGCGAACTTTTCCTCCTTGGTCGTTTGTCACAGTGACACAGAAGCTGCCTAAAACATGAGCACACAGAAGAGTGGCCCTTCCTCTCAGCTCACGGTTTGAACAGGTACCACCAGCACGGCTGCTCCCTGGGCCTTGACCACCAGAGCAGAGCCATCGATCACGGCAGGTGCTTTCCAGATGTTGTGTACTTAATCCCTAAACTCATCCTTAAAACAGATGTCACCCTCCCCATTTTCACACAAGAGGAAACCGAGGCTGGAGGAGACGGGAACTTAGTTGTGAAGCATGCGTGGATACGGAAGGAGCTGACTCGGAGCCTAACTGGGTGACAGCGTCTGCCTGGCCGAGGGCCCCTGGTCGGGCTTCACGATCGTTGCCAGGCTAGAGCTTCACAGCCACCAGCAAGATGTGATGGTGGCAGGTGTCACGGCTTGGATGAGGTGTCCCCAAAAGTTCGTGTGAGACAACGTGAGAGGGTTCAGAGGAGAAGCAGTTGGGTTGTGAGAGTCTTAACCCAATCAGTGAATTAATCCCCATGGATGGGATTCACTGGGCGGGAGCTGAGGAGGGGCCCTGGACGTGGCTTTGGGTGTATATCTGTATCTGGCAAACGGAGAGCTCTCTCTCTGCTTCTGCTCCCCGCACCACACTCTTCCCCCATGGTGTCTTGCCTCACCTTGAGCCCTGAGGAATGGGGCTGACTATCCTGGACAGAGACCTCTGCGACTGTGAGCCCCAAATACACCTTCCCTCCTCGGCAGTAGTGCTGGGCGAGTCTTCTAGTCACCGCAGCAAGAGGCCCGTGAAACAGCAGCAGTGGCCGCTTGCCTGCCAGGAACGGTGTGTCCTGTCCTTCATGGGGGTTGGCCGGTGTTGCTGCCCACCAGGGATGACAGTTTCTGGTCCCCCTGGCTCCCGAGTGGTCATGTGACTGATTTCTGCCAATGGCAGATGGACAGAGCTGACGGGCTACATTCTGGGCAGGGCTTTTGGAAAGGCTCCTCCACACAGCCTTTCTGCCCATCCACCAGCAGGCCCGGAAACCAGGGGACCCCTGACCACAGGGCAGAAGCCTCTGTCCTCGGTCCCCATGAGAGAGAAGGCCCCATGCAGGGTACTAGCCGGGGACCCCTGGCACAAGAGGTGCCTCTGTGAAACCCAAGGACTTCATTGCTGTTGGTTTTGCTGAGTTAATCCAACATTATCTTTCCCACTTAACATGTCACAAACCCAAGGTTCTAGGAGGTGAGTGTCTTGCCAGATTCCCATGCCAGGTCAGGGCCTTCCTGAGGCCTCCTTCTCCCAAGCCCTACTCTCTCAGCCCTTTGATCTGCCTTTCTGCCTGTCCTGCCTGGTGGACGTCCCTTGGGCTCCATTGACTCAACGTGTTGGTGGAAGTAAAAGTGATGGCCAGCGCCGCTGAGTGAGAGTTGGGTCCTGGTCCTGTCTCTTGTGCTCTGTGTCTTTTGGCAGGTCAGTGGCACTCTCTGAGTTCCTCTGATGGGAACCTCAGAGGGACCCACCAACTTCTTCACAACAGTGAGGTTGGCAACCTTGTAGCCCAGCCAAGGGCACCCATGGTGGCCAACATTTGGTCTCGAGGGAACCTTAGGTGCTCTGATTTCCAAGTACTGTCCCCTGCTGTTCCCCAGACAGCCACAGAGTTAGGGCAGGCAATGCCATGGGCACAGGGACGAGGGCATTTCCCAGCCTCCCTTGCAGTCAGCCTGGGCATGTGACACTCCTTGCCAATGGGACAGGAGCCTGCGTCACTAAGAGCGTCTCTCCTCCCCAGCTCTTGTCTCTGCAGGAACTCAGGCCCTGTACCTCAGCCTCCAGTGGCGGGGGCCACACCTGGGTACCTGCAGCACCCCTGGAGGCAGCGCCCAGGAGCCTGGCGCCAGGGTAGGACTGTGTGAGTCAAAATCACACTTTTTCACTAAGCCAGAGTGTTAACTGCTCTGAATAACCCATCATACAACAAGATGGAGCCTCTGCCGTGCTCACGCTGGCTCTCTGGCCAACTCAGGTCCTCACCTGCCCGTGACCCAGCCTCCCAGGGACCCCCACTTCCCCTTCCCCAGGGCTCAAACTTCCCTGCAGTCAGGCTGGCCCTGAGCCCCTCACAGGAGAGCTCGTCCCTGCTGCGGCCCCTCCGCTGTCCTCAGGCACCAGCACGGCACAGTGGCTGCTGCGTAGGCGTCACTCCAGGGCCACCCTCTAAGGCAGCTTCCACAGCACGTTCCCGTCCCCAGCCTCGCTCTTCCGCCTCCACTTTCCTCGCTGTCCATGCACTGGAGGGCACCCACTCGCTCACCCTTTCCTCCTCCGCCTCCCTCCACGGCGGGCTCTGTGAGCCGCGTGTGCTTGTTCACGCCTGCGTCCTCAGGGCCTGGGACACAGAGGGCTCAGGGCACGCTTGACACATAAGTGAACTAGAACACGTGAGCACACATCACCAACAAGGTGCTGGGCGATGGGGGTTGGGGCCCCTCACCATGCAGAGGGAACCACAATGAGTGACCCATGGGGGCTGCAGCGGGCTCGGGCGGACCAGGTCCTGTCTGCAGAAGAGACGACCCGGGCTGCACCCCAGGAAAAGACACTGGACTGTGAGAGCAATGACAGGTGACGACATTCCAGACAGGGACAAGAGCTGACAATGAAAGGCAGGAGGATCCCACCAAAGCCAACAGGAAGTGGGAGTCACAGCAGTCACCAGCCCCACAGAGCAGCCAGCGTCTCCAGGGCCCTACGCCCCGCGGACCCCCAGAGGCACGGTTCTGCCCAGAAGCACCGCGCAGCCGCACCGACCACCACGTCAAGGGTGAGACCTGGTGGCTGCTTCACAGCTTGGAGCAGCTGGGCTGCCCTCCAAGGAGCCGGTCCAGCCCTGGCAGAGGGCCAGCGGCACACTGAGCTGTGCAGGTTCGAGGCTCTGCCCCACCTTATCTCCAGCACGCTTCCCACCTGTGCTCCTCTCCTCGTCTTCCTCCGAGTCCCTGGGGAGAGCACTGGCTTGTTGTCAGCATCTGGAAGGGAGAAGCCATCAGCAGCAGCCTCTGGGGTATCAGCCGCAGTGGCTGTCACGGTCCAATCTTGTTTGGGTTGAATTGCTCGGAAACTCCCATTCACCTGCCCAGAGCCAGGCCCTGTTGCAGAGGTCACCTGGCTTCAGAGCTGCATTACTTACATTGCCACAAAGATAGACCCATCTTGTTTCAGCCAAGCCACCTCTGCAGACTTTTGAACTTAGGGGACAGGCTTTTGAACTGGGACAGGGAGATGGGTGACCACTCTTTTGAACACCTACTATGTGTTCAGCATAGAGTTACTGTTTCTCAGAGTCTCGGCAGGTCTCTGATATAAAATCTCTGGTTTTATTTTAGAGTCTAGTTGGTCCAGCTAACTAGAAGGACTAGTCGGAGCTGGGCCAGGAGTCAGATCCCAGCCCATTTCCACTACTACAGTGAGATACCTGGAGCCCAGTGACCCACAAAAGAGGAGGCACGTTCAGCCCGCAGCTGGGGAAGCCAAACAACAGGGCACAGGCGCTGGCAAGGGCATCACCCCATGCAGACGGTACCATGGCAGGAGCCTGTGAGAGAGGTCACCCGCTGTGACAGGAGGCCAGGGCGTCTTGCAAAAACCTTCTCCAGAAAACTAACTTAGGGTCCTGACCTCCCACGAAGCCCCCCTTAAGGGCCCACCACCTCTCACGTCACCACACTGGGACCCACCTTCCAGCACCTGCTCCCGGGACTCCAGCCACATCCCGGTTACAGCAGAGCCACAGACAGCGAGGACACAGCGATGACGTCAACCCCTGGCTCAACCGGAACTCTGAACCATCAGGAGCCCAGACCACAGCGCGCAGGGCCCCAGGCTCCCTGAGTGTCCCATGCACTCACAGCCTGTGGCCACTGGCTGCGAGGGGACTCTGCCAGTTGTGGGGTGACAGATGCCACAGCTGCAGAGACCCCGTCCCCAGTGCTCAGCTCGTCCATGGCAAGGCAAAGGTCATGCCAGGCCTGGGCCTCAGGTCTCTTGATCACTGTAGAATCTCTTTGTGGCCTTACTCCACGAAGATGTTGTCGAAGGTGTCCCAGAACAGAGTGGCCTTTCATTAGAATGTCGGTGCTGCCGATGCAGCTTCTTTCTCTGGGAAATGGCCCCGAGAGCATGCATGAGTACTGCCCACGTCCCTGGGAAGTCACTGAAGCACTGGGAAGAGTGGCCCCCAGGCCAGGTCAGCTCCTGCCCAAGCTCTGGGGAGCTTGACAACGTGTCCCCCGGAATCTCCAGTGCGCCCACTTCCAGGGGCTGTTGTGGGAGCAGGGCCTCCTCCAGACACCTGCTATCTGCCTGTGAGGTCCTCCTCTCACTGGGCCCCATGGCGGAACCACCTCACGGCACCAGCCATGGGGCCGCCAGCCCAGCCGGGGCTCCTCCTCTTGCCAGATTCTTCCAAGGCCTCCAGTCCTGGGGCAGCAGGCCATGTTGTCTCATGTCCCCGTCTGTCCCTCCTGCAGCCTCCTCTGGGGACACTGCCTCCCGGCACACCCCTCCTAAGTGTCCATGTCCTTCATCCACCTAGGACCAGAAGGGCGAGTTGACCAGGTGAGGGCCTCCCAGAAGGCTGGCCCTGCCACCCTGCCTGCCCACTCTCCACTCAGTGCTGGGACTCAGGGCACTTACCAGGGTGACCACAGAGCCCCACCCTCCAAGGCCAGGTGGGGAGGACCGTTTTTAATCACCCCCACCCAGGACCTGCAGGGGAGCTGTGCCCTGCACACGCAGACGCTCAGCAAGTCTCCACCCTCGGCCTCTGGAGTGGCCCAGGTCACCTTCTTGCACCAGTGGCTTCCATGTGACAACACACGCAGCGTCCAATGACAGCTGCTGGCCCAGCTCACCAGACGTCCGCAGACAGTCTCTCTGAGTCACATCTGAGTCTCCCCCAGCTGAGTCACTTCCCGTGATCGATGTCTTCCTGAGCCAGTGTCCTCATGGCCCGCTGGCAAGAGGCTGTGCCCGCCTGCACCACGTCTGACAGCTTCTCTGTCCACATGACACATCCTCAGGAGCCTCTGCAGTCGATGGAGGTAGCCAGAAACCACAGGCCCCTCTTGGCATCTACTGGGAAGCAGGCCAAGTACCAAACAGGCCTGTTCTGCTCAGTACTGGGTAATCAGTTGCCAGCACAGTGCCTGATACGCAGAAGGTGCTCAATAATGTCTGCAGAGTGAAGGAAGAGATCTGGGCTCAAACCCCAGGAAGGCTGTTCCCAGCTCTGAGATCACAGAGCTCCGTGGAGAGGGCTGTAGCAGAACTGAAGTCACATCTAGAAAGACTGGGCACACAGTGGGAGTCAAATACAGAGCCTCGCTCCCCCTGGGAGGGATGCAGCCCAAGACCCTGAAATCCTCAGTAGTGTTCAAACCAGGGCAACTCCAAGTCCTGGAGACACTGTGGTTTTCCCACATGTACGTACTGTGATGGAGTTTCATTTATAAGGGGGCCACAGTAAGACACTAGCAACACGTTAGTGTACATCTTGGCAACCTCAGCACATGACTTTTTCCTTCTCTTATTAAGCTGAGATACATTTGCAGCTTCTCTGTGTTATGTCCAAATTGCCCGCATGGCTGCCCTCAGGCTTCAAGTGAAATGTGGGTTTTAGCAGGAAAACTGCAGTACCCCAACAGTTACTCTGATAACTGAATAGCTACTGACTCACAGGTGGGTAGTGTATACAGAGTGGAAACTCAGGACAAGGTGAGGCTCCAATCCCAGCAGGACAGAGTGGAACATCAAGATTCCATCTCACTTCTCAGATCAATGTGCACTTAAAATTCAGGAATTGCTTATTTCTGGGATTTTCCACATTATATTTTCAGACTGCCATTGACATCGGGTAACAGACACTAGAAGGTAAGTCCGTGGATAAGGGGCACAATCGCAAATGCTGATTATGTTCTCCATCAGGTGTGACTGTTGACATACAAAAGAAGCAATGTCTGGTCTGGTGGGGTTTGTGGGCTGGGGACAGTGAGCACAGAGGCAGACAAGGCCAGACCATAGAGAGGCAGAAAGGAAGCGCCCGAGCAGAGTCTTACTCAGCCCAGGGCTGGGCAGGCTTTCTGGAGGGGTTCTGAGTCTGAGGCTGGAGTGGGTGCCGCAGCAGGGATGGGAGTTCCCAGCAACAGCAGAGAGGCCTGGGCAGGCACCTGGCCCTAGGTGGGCAGGCGCCCCGACTCCACCAATACCTGGCGGCTCCTCTGGGTCTAGGAAGTGACGTGCACATCCAGAGACGTGAGCTCAAAGACCAGCACTAGGTCCCAGCGTGGCCAGGGTGAGAGGGCAGTGTCCAGCTCAGGACAGGCACTGCAGGGACCACGGGCAAGGGGTGACGGCACCAGGTGCACATCCAAACTGGCCATCAGCCCTTGGGAGGCCCAGTGACCCCAGGGAAGGAGCAGGAGTGCTGCCCACAACATGTGTCTCCCATTCAGAGCAGGCGTCTGCACTCAGAGCCCAGGTGACCCCAGAGGCACCCAAGCCAAAGAGTGCCCTCCTCCCAGGAAGCCCCCGTCTGGGCAGCAGAACCGTCTGGTGCAGTGCCCTTCCTGAACCTCACACCATGTGATCCCATCTGTCCCCTGGCTCTGGGAGGCGGAGGTGCAGAAGGTCCCTGTGCCCTGGAATGGGGTTGGACAGCAGGAAGGTAGAGGGAGGCTCCTGAAAGCCGCTGTCTTGTGTCCTTGGCCAGAGATGATGGAGCCTGGCTGCTCTCCCCGGGGAGGGACCATGTGGGGCACGGCTGAGAGCAGCCCTGAGCTGTGCCCAGCACCGACTGGCACGCCCCGGCAGCCTGAGGGGCAAGTCTGAGCGGAGCCCGGTGGCTTCTCCTGGCCTTCTCCCAACCTCCCTCCCCGGAAAGAAATTAAGCCCGTCCCTTGACTCGGCATGGCATTGGCTTCTTTTTGTGATATTTTTCCTTTTCCTACCAAAAGGGGTTCAAAAGTTGAGAGCTGATTTGTATTCTGAGCAGCAGGCAGCTGCTGCAGATCCAGCACAGTGGGGGAGTCGGCTCAACAGCCAGCCCCGGGGAGACCCTCTCCAACTGGAAGAGCTTTCTGGGTGTCACTGTGGCTCTCCCCTCCCACCGCCCCCCGTTTTAGCCTTAATGGCACTCCTGTCCCTGCTGTCTGCTGGTGCTCTTTGTGATGATAACAGCTGATCCACACAGGGAGGAATTCAGGGGAATCTCCAAGGAATTTCTCTCTGGGCTCTTTCAGGCACATCATTTGCATACATTTGTATAAGTTATGCGTCAGTGTACACTTCTCTTTAACATTGCAACCTAATGAAATCACTCAGACAGGCACATTAAAAACAGGATTTACTCGGGGAAGGCTGACCCTTTGCGTGTTAAATCATTTGAATGATCATTTGAATATATTTGCACAAGTGGCACATTGAAAGGGCCTTACCCCTGTTTTCAGAATTAATGAAACAAACTGGCTACCTTGGGGGTGGTTTGCCAGGAACTGTTGAGGGCACCTAGCACGGGGCGTCTCACCAAGACAACCCACCAGGACAGCCGCTGCGTGCAGGGGCATTCCGGGAATCACCAAGCAGGTTCTCAGATGCAGATTTTATTTTACAGTGTCTCCAGGTGAAGATGTGAGGGTGTCAGGACAAGCCAACACAGGTGGAGAAGAGGGTGCGAACCCCCATGCCCCAAAGCTGTTGGGGGCCCCCCTGCCAAGGAGGAGCAGCATGAAGGGATGGGTAGCGCCCAAGCCTGCGGGAGCCAGCCAGTGTGGGCTGCCAGGAGGGGCTGCCAGGCACCGGGTGAGGCTTCGGGCAGCACTTCCCCACTGCAAGGGTTAAAGCACTGGCTCTGCAGGCAGGCCAGGGACCAGGGCTGATTATGCAGAAGACTTGCCAGCCAGCACGGAGCAGCTCTCCAGATGATTGAGGCTGAGGGCTCCTCAAGGTCAGGCAGCTTCAACTCCTCCCAGGCTCCACCGCAGATGGGACGCACACCGCGCTGCGAGGGGCCTCGGAGCCAGGAGAGGGTCTTGGCAGGAGAGCCCAGGGCAAAGGGGCCTAGAAACCACCTTCCTACTTCACATTCTGCCACCTGCATCTCTCAATGCTCTTCCTTTTCATCTCTTCCCCAGGAAACCCTTCAGTTAATAGGCAAAGGAACTGCTCCAGGCCACTCTGCTACAGGGGCAGGGGGTGCGTCACCTGTGCCAGGAGCCCTCGAGCCCCTGCCTCCAACCCCCCCTCGGCCCCAGCATCGCTCTGGGACATCTGCGTGGCTGTCTTGGAAGCCCTGCTTGGCGTGTACCTGGTCCACAGTAGGAGCTACGTGCCTTGGCCCCCTCCTGAGGAATACTGCTTCCCGGGAGCACGACTTGGGGGTTGGTCCCCAAGAGCACTGGCCTCCCGAAGGCCCAGCCCTCAGCCTCCACCTCAACCCAGAGCTGGCATTAATCCCAGGAATGTGTGGTCACCTCCAATCACCCAACTTTGTGTCCTCCCCACCCAGAACGTGCATGAAGGGCAGCAAGCCCAGCCTCCCTGTCTGCCTGAATTTGTGCCAGTGCCTGGGCCAATGACCAGGTCTCTGCCGAGTTGATGCCCCCAGAGCAGATTCCTGAGCCTATCAAGAACCCAGAGTCCAACTGGCCTCTGCAAACCAGCCAGCTGATCTGGAAAGAGCCCCTGCACCCACCCCCAGCACCCTGTCAGGCCCCGGCGCCTGCCCTCTGGGCGTCCCCTGGAAACACGGTGAACTTCCAAACCCACGGGGCAGCCTCAGGTTCCGGTGCCAGGCTGGGCCGAGCCAGGAGACCGCTGTAGCAGGCAGCTTCACGGCCAGCCAGCGTCTCCCTCACCACTGTCCTGCCACAGGGCAGATGTCTCTGGCTCCAGCCAGGCGGGTCTCCCCTGCGGCAGCCTCTCCCCTCTGATCCCTCTGCCAGGAGAGACTGGTTTCAGGAGGAGGAGGAACTACCCCTCCACCCAGCTCAGCCGCCAGCGTGCTGTGCCTCTCCCTCTCCTGACACTCGTGACAAGTCTCTGGGTCAACATCATTCATTCTCCTTTCCCAGAAAAGATCTGAGTGTGGGGAGAAGAGGTCAGAGGACACTGAGGACACTGCCCCTCAGTGGGACCCCGAGTCACAGCCAAGAAAGGCACATTCCACGCAGCCGGGGCTCCCTCCCTTGACAGGTGCTGGGCCAGGCGCTGCCGAGCTTCTTGTGCAGAAGTGAGTTTCTCTAGTCTGCGTGGCTCTTCCTCCTGCGGCCCCTGGAGGACACGGCCTGTCAGAAGGGAGCCCACAGTTCCATGCACAGTACAGGGAGATGCAGCCTGTGGCCTGCAGAAAGAGCCCCGTGGTCTCACAGGCGCATGCAGTTGACAAGCTCCTTTTGCAAGAGTGGCCTGAGCCATGGCACTGTATCAAGGATCAGGCCCTGGCTGGCAGCAACTGGACCCACAGCTGGTCTGGACTCTTGGGACTGCTGGACCTCCCGCTGGACCTCCCGCTGGACCTCCCGCTGGACCTCCCGCTGGACGGCGCGGCCCCGCACTTGAGCACACTCCCCTGGTGGAGCAGACCAGGTGCCACCCTGCAGCAAGGTGCCCGCCCACTGGGGCAGACTTGGCCTGCACAGCAGAAGCCCTGGGTGGATGGGCCCCCCGCCCAGGTGCTGCCTCCAGGTGCTTCCCTGGCAGCTCCCCAGTCAGAGGGTGGCTGCGGTTCCCAGGGAGGGCTCCACTGACATCACCAAGTTTGACTAGTGGGAGAAACCAGTCCTGGGCCCTCCTCTGCCTGGAGCGCGGATTCACACCACATTCTCCTCCAAGAGCGCTCCTGGGCGAGGCTCTCACCCCAGCACAGCATTTGGCTACGGGAAAGGACCTCTCAGCTGTGGAAGGAAGGAGATTTAAACAGGCTCTCTCCTCGCTGAGCTCCGGACGCACACGGGGCGTCTCCCGCGCTCAGTCCCAAGGCCTCGCTCCCAGGTGCCCTGCACAGACCCCATTCACACCTGATTGCTCACGCCCTCTGCTCACCCTCGGGCCTTCTCATTGCCCTTCCACTTCCTCACCCTCAGGAAGGGGTCCTCACTGAGCCGCCAGAGCCCAAAGTGCGTGCAAACCGCACCATCCCCC